TAACTGTATTGTATACCTAAATTTTACTAATAAACTTAATGGGGGGGGAAGAACCATCAGGGTGAAGAGACAACCTACAGAATGGGAAAAAAAATTTCCAGTTATCCCTTGAACAGAGGACTTATACCTAGAATGTATAAAGAACCTCAAACAAATAAAAGACTCAATCAAAAGATGTGCAACTGAAATGAATAGACATTTCTTAGAAGAAAATGTACTAATGGCCAATAAATACATAAAAACTGTTTAACATCACTGGTCACCAGAGAAATGTAAATTAAAATAACACTAAGATTCCATCTTACTCCAGAAAGAGTGGCTATCATCAAGAAATCAAATAACAACAAATGTTGGAGAGACTGTGGGGAAAAAGAAACCCTTCTACATCGCTGGTGGAAATGTAAACTAGTTCAGCCATTACAGAAATCAGTATGCAGATTCTTCAAAAAACTGAAACTAGAAATTCTGTTCTACCCAGCTATTACTATTCTAGGTATCTGCCTGCAAGAGTTATTACAGTTAGTAACTAAATCTTGGATAAAGAAAATGTGGTATTTATATACAGTGGGGTACTACTCTCCCATAAGGGACAATTTTGAGTCATTTGTAGGAAACTGGATGCACCTTGAGAACATAGCATGCAATAAGTCAGACACACAAGGTTAAATATTGAATGGGTTATGTCAGAAATGCAAAATATAAATAAAGAGCAAAATAAAAGATAGATAATAGGAAATAGGAAGATAGGCCATTTGCAAAAGGGAAAAGGAACAAGAGATGGAGGGTGTAGGGAACGAGGAGAAGGGAAGGAGGTGAAAAAAGAATTAAGATGTGTTATGTGCATGTACCAACTCACCAGGAGGGATGTAATCATTAAGTATTGTAAACATTGTCAATGCAGTGAGGTTATAATATTGAACATAACAACAAAAATTAAGTATGGTCCTGCTTTGTTCCTTTCTTTTAATTTTTGTCTGGTTTATTTATTGTTCTTTTTCATTGACATATACACACAAAAATACTAAAATAAAGAGCAACAATAGGTACTGTTATCTTTAATTTTTCATTTATTTTCATTTTTTATTTTTGTCTTTAATTTTTCTAATAATATCAAATGAATGCACAATACTTTAAAATAATATACCATTCATGTAAATGACCTTGTATGGCAGATAGACATAATTGCATACCTCATATCCTTTTCTTTCTCTTCCTACTTATCCTCATAAAACATGGTATTTCCAACCTCTCTTGTGCACAAGGAAGGCTATATGATATGTTCTAACTAGTGAACTGTAAGGGAAAATTTCTGGGTGCAGCACCTTGGAAATCTCTTGGAAGAAGTGCAGGACTAGCCTCACCTTTGCCCATTTCCCTTCACCTATTTCTTTCCTTGAATAAGAATGTGAATCAGGTAAGAAAATGAAGCAACCAACTTATGAGGGTGCAGGTCAAAGGCCACCTATAAATAGATAGCAAAATAGAAAGTCAGGAGGCTCCTGGATGCCTAAGGACATTACAGAGTCACTACCACCAACCCTGACTACAAACTTCTAATATTTCCTGTTATGAAAGGGGGGAAACACCTTCCTTGTTTAATCCATTCTCTTACATACAGCCAAATACAACCGTTAATTGATACATCATACTAAAATTAAATTTTAGCAAACTATATCATCGAAAGACACTTTTAAAATAATATACTCTAGACTAGGCATGGTGGCGCACACCTGTGATTCTAGTACTTGAGCCAGGAGGATCGCCAGGAGTTCAAAGCTAGCCTGGACCATATACCCAGACCCTGTCTTAAAAAACAAACAAAACAAAACAAAACAGATAATACACTCTATACCACCTTCAGATGAAAAATATAGACCTTACACACACACACACACACACACACACACACACACACACCCGTAAAACAGGCTGAAGACTCAAAACTAGCCTGTATCCAAACAAGGACTTAGGACTTCACTCTCATTTAAGTAAATAACTTTTCAAAAATATTAAAATCAAGCCCATCTTGACAACTCGGTTTGAAAATAACATTTCATAGAGGTTTTTTCAAATAATATTTTAAACATTACACACATACTAGTCAAAAACTTATCCCTTATCCCTTTGGTTACTCCTAAGCAAGTCTATAGTCTGCAGTCACTCAAAGTTAGCGTTCAAGCTAACTGACATCAATCTTAAGTATGTCAGAATAGGATATTTCTAGACTGAACAATCCCTAGCAAGGATAGAAAGTCAGGAAATTTACAAATGGTAAGAATTCATTTTCTATCCTACAAAAACAACTAATTTAAGTCCTTTCTATCAATTTCAAAGGAAATTTTAAATGTTTTTATACATGAATATTACACATATGTATTTCAAAAAATTATTTATGTTGAAGAAGAAGAAGACAGTATATCTTCTGGACTTAGATATGAGAACGCTCTTGACTGGATATAGGCCTCTTGGATGTCAGTGGTTTTTGCTCAGTAGTTGGCTAAATTCTTGTATCATGATCTTTTGGCTAGATTTCTAATTCTTCCTGGTCAGAAAACTCCTCCTGCATTTCATTTTAAGAAAATCTAAATGCTTGTCCAGGGCATTTGTTCATAGAATAGAAAGCATCAATTTTATACTGAATTTTCATTCTCCTTCTGTTGGGTATGTTGCCCCACTCTTGGTTATTCTATTATGTCCTTAGTCCCTTACTGAAGAGGATATAATTCTATGCCTCTGAATCTAAACCTCTTAGAAAACTACACTTTTTTTCAATAATAACACAAATCCATCACAGGAAAATTTTTTTCCTGCCAATAGAGTCTATGTTACAGGTAGCAGTTGGAAAACCTGCTAAATGCTTCTTAGATATGCAACGAAGTACTTCATGTTGTGTGAGGCTACTGATACCAGTTTCTTGAGAAACAGGACTGGGTTATCAAGAAGAAGTAGTCAGAATATTTTATATTTCATACTTTATAGGTAGTACTAAAATTATACTTTTAATTAAGAAAAGACTATGTTTAACTTGGAAACAACCCAATTGCCCATCAACTGGAGACTGGATAAAGAAGATGTGTTTTTTTTTTGTAAAATGGAGTACTACTTAGCCATAAAGAACAAGAAACTAGAGACATTTATAGCTAAGTGGATGCACATTGAGGCCATACTCTTAAGTGAAATAAATAGGACACACATGTGTAAATACCGAATAGTTTCTCTGGTGTGAAAAATTAAAAGTGTAAATAAGGATCAAAATGTATAATTGATAATTGAAATAGGAAGAAAAGGTCTAAAGGAGTAGGGGAAGTGGGAAGGGTAGGGGAAAGGAAAGAAGGGAAAAGAATAAAACATGAGAAAAGGAAAAAATGGAAACAAAGTCTGTAAATATGGAAGGGTGGAGGGGGTAAAGGGAGGGGAGGGGAATGGGGAAAAAATGAGAACCAAGAAGCATCATATAAAGGTACAAGATCCCAATGATGAATGTAACTGTATTGTATATCTAAAATGTACCAATAAACTTAATAAAAAAACAAAGTAATAAAAATCCCAAATTAAATGGTCTTAAAAAGAAAGAAAAGACTTTTTAAAACAACTCTAGCAGTAATTGCTAAGTGCCATAAGAGGGAGATAGAACTCTACTACAGAAAGGAAGAAAGAAAAACACAAACTAATTTTTCCAATTAAAAAAATAAAAGTTGTTTTCCTTACCTTCCAAGACACAGAAATATAAGTATCTATGGGTTGCAAATAACACAGCGGTGTTCAAATAGACTTTTTCTCCTCAATTCATTATTAGCAAAAGTGAAAGATTTCTCTTTCACTGATGTTTGTAGTTTTTCAAAGAACATCCACAATGTTCTGGCCCTTAGGGGTCTTGTGAATCTCTATTATAGGTATTCAGAAACTATTTGATATTATTTCTGATAAACGGTATACCACAGTGTAGTAAAATGGGTGCAGGTTGTTTTCAGAGGGCTCCATGATTGCAGACTGTGTGAGCCTGAGCAAATAAAATGCCTTCATCTCTTTAAGCTCAGTGTCACATACATTAAAGGAAATAATACAAAACTTTATCTTATGGAGTTTTTGGTAGACTAAGATAAGGAGCATGAAATTAATTTGCATGCTTAAATATGTTTAATAAAAATCTATTATTATGTTAAATCTTCCAAATTCAACTGAGTATTGTATTTTCATTTACAAAAAAAAAACCCTTGGTTTTTCACAAGCTTCCCATTTTTTTTCCCCCAAGTATTTCTGAAATTAAAATTCAGCAAGAATTCTGAGGAAAGCCTATTTTTAAGGATGTTTTGGACCTGCATAAATCATACTTTGGGCTTTATCTATATTTTAAAGAACAAATTTGAATGAATGAAAAGCCAATGAAAGGGCTTTGTACAATATAAGGCATATAATGTAAGTAATTTATCAGAGATTAAAATGTGCTGTCAAAGAGGGGAAAGATGTCACTAGGGCAACCAGAAGAAAAAGTAGATTGGTACGCTAATGAGGTTTCTTGCTCATTTGGCGTAATGTTATAAGTTCTCTATTGAATTTTATACATTTTAATGTATTTGTATGGATGTATATGCATGTGTACACAGATGTGTATATGTGAATGTGTGTATATATTACATACAAAGTAAAGTGGGATGTTTCAAATATGTAGAATATATAAAGATATATAGTTTGTGTTAAACAGGCTTCTTCAGATTGCAAGGAAAAGACACTCTCACATTTCCAGACAACCTGACCACTGAGATTCCCTTTCTTTCCTTTTGTTTGTTTGTAGCTATACCAGAATCCATGTTCAGCTTTGTAAGGGGAAGATTAACCTGATGGCCTTGTTACTGCATTCTTCATATGCAAGGAATAGCATCCCTGAAAATATTTTATTTGGATCTTTCCTCAATCATTAAGCTTTTGTTTGAAATCTGTCTGGGGAAAAATGTACATAATTTCCTTGAATTATTCTCTTTGGTTAACTATCTTTTACTTACCACTGACATTTGCTCATAAACACGAATAGAAGATAGTCTATCTATAATAAAGCAAACATGAACAATTGATATTTTATCAGTTTTAACTCAGCTTACAAGACACGTATGATTTTTTTTTTGTACCTGAAGGATTTCCACGGATTCTTTTCCTTTTCTCTTCCAGAGACATAATTTGTTTTTCTAGTTGATCATTCAATTCAAGCTGTGCCTCGTAGCGAGTTTTCCATTCACTACCTGAGTAAAAGAGAGGAGAAAAAAATCAGGATCACCTTTTCATCTATCACTTATTAATTAAAGTAACATAAACCAACTTGATCTTGAATTTATTAACAATACAAATGAATTAGTAAGAAATAATTTTTAAGTATGTATCTCTGTTAGAAAATAGGATTTGCCAGATTTTGAGAACTAGACCCACCCTCAGGCTGAGAGAAGGCCAAACCTCTACATGACTATTGTGGTTCCTATTCTTATTTATTCTCCACCTCCTATTAACCCTTATTTCCTCCTATTTCATTATATCAGAAATGGGCTTTTTCCCTTGGAACTTGAAATAAACACAACACCCTCAACTCTACTAACCACCCATCCAATGTCATGTTCATTTTTTCCCTTTGAAAAAGATTTCAGAAGTCAATAAAATTATCACTTCTATGTTTATAACATGTAAAGCACACACAATGCTTCACATGTCAACTAATTTCTCATTTTAAAAATTTAGTTACTGATTTTATAAATGAAGAAACCAAGGCTCAGTGATGCCAATTAACATTCTTAACATAACATTCTTAAAATGGTAATAAAAGAGGTAATTGGGTGTAAACCCAATTTTTTTCTGACTCAAAAATATATCCTCTCAACCACTAAGCTACAGTAACACTGTGTATGTTTAGCCTTCTAGTCAGACATTTTCTCTTATCCTTAGGCACTAAGGCCAAAGTATGGCCAAAGTATGGCCAAAGTATTTGTCTTATTGTTGTGTGTGTGTGTGTGTGTGTGTGTGTGTGTGTGTGTGTGTGTGGCTAGAATACAGTATAGAATTACAAAGTCTTTTTTCATCTTTAAAGTCCAAAGCCTTCAAGGTCAAGGAGATCTGGAGAGGGAGAGAGAGGGGAGGGAGAGAGAGGGTAGAGAAAGGGGGGAGTAAATCTTCATACTCTTTACATATCTGAGATAAAGTTTGGTTGGTAATAGTTGAAGAAGGAGTCTGAGGAAAAAGAAAGTAGTAGCACTCACCACTGCCTGAAACTGGCCTCCCTCCCTCGTACTCTCATCTTTATGCAAATGTGCCTCACCAAAGAAAGGGCCTGAACATCCTTTCAAAGTGAAACAGAATTATTAATCCAAAATTTTAGGAAACAGGACAAAGGAAAAGCCCTGAAAATCTGAACATTTTTCTAGCAGACTCACTTGAGCCCAAATAGGTGGAATGGCTTGTATAGTGGCTAGCTGACGTCTCTTTTTGTTATCATGCCCCATCTTTCATCATAAGAATGGAGGCTTCGGGGCCTGGGATTTAGCTCAGTGGTTCCAGCACCTGCCTCACAAGTGCAAGGTCCCGAGTTTGATCCCTGGTACTAAAAAAAAAAAAAAGAATGGAAGCTTCAGAGTAAGATAAAAATGTTTAAAAAAATAAAAAAAAGCCAGTTGGGGATGGTAGCATAGCTATAATCCCACAGCACTCAGGAGGCTGAGACATGAGGACTGAAAGTCTGAGACTGGCCTGGGTTACGTAGAATGATCCTGTCTCAACACAAAAAATAGTGTTCCAAGCCACTCAGAGCAATAGTCTAAAATAAAAATGTTTGATATAATATATGAATAAATAAAGCAATTTATTTTTGACATAGTCTAGTTCATAAAATCAGCCCCGTTTTAAATATTATTGGCCTAAAGATCATCAAATTTAGATAGGCTTATTAATATAGTATTCTGTATTAATGTTAATAAGCCCAAGGGATTTCTTAAGCGAGTTAGAAAGAGAAAACGGGAAGGGATTCAACTTGCAGAGATAATGAAGGCATAACTCTAATGGTGGCCAGACTGGCACACTGACAGAGGGATAGGACCAGTTTTTAAGAAGCTGGCTTGGCTGATTATCTCAGTTCTGCTTTTACAAAATGGCTCTGGGAGAAGTCTTTATTGCTTAATCCACTCTCATGAGGTGATTGTTTCTGCTTGGGGAAGGCTCTGCTGAAATCCAAAATAACTTTGGGTTTAGAGCAATGACTAGAGACTTCTTGGTGCACACTGGTAGTTGATTGTCTCTATAAATCGCTTATCTTGGTGTCTTTAGTCTTGGAAGAAGATGAGAGGTTACATAAAATTAAGGTTAATCAAACAGTAGAGCCAGTTTTTAGACAGGCACTCCCTAAATAATTATTGTGCCTATAATGCAGAGCTAAGCAGGAATCTGACTCAAAATTTTAAGATAATAATTTTTAAAAACCCTCATACAAAATGAAGATTCAGGCTTTGTTCTACTTTTAGTTACCCATTGGTTATATAGTCCAAATATGCCACTGTTTTGTTTTTGTGACAAAAAAAGCTTTTAAGTCCCTGAAAGCCTCAGAAGAAAACACGAATCATGCTTTTAATGAATAATGGTTTAAAGAGTCAGTTTGGAAATCAGCCCGCTGCACACAGGAAGGTCTGTGCATGCCCTACAGAGGTCCTGAGTCCCGCGGAAGACACCGAATCATCCCGCTGCAGACAGGCAGCCACACTACAAAGACCCAGAGGACACCAGACCACCAGACCAAGGTACTGAGTCCTGATGTTCCTGGCCCAGAGGTAGGGGCTTCTGAGCCGTCGTTCCACTGCTCCTGGTCCAGAGGAAGGGGCTTCCCGGTCACCATCTCTCCCGCTGCTAATAGCCCAGAGGAGAGGGCTTTTGGGCCACCTTCTGTCCCACTGATCCTGGTCCAGAGGAAGGGGCTTCTGGGACACCATCCCTCCCGCTGCTCCCAGCCCACAGGAAAGGGCTTTTGGGTCACCATCCCTACCGCTGCTCGCCGCCCCTGGCCCACCTCACCCAGCTCAGAGGAAGTAATCCGTGCAGGCGCTAAGAGCCCTCTGGCCCAGTCGAAATGAGACAACATGCAAATAAGTCTCAAAACCAGACTTTCAGATCACCTACAGCAACCCCAAAAGGAAATGAGATGGAACACTATGATACTCAACCATCTGGACCCACTGAACTGGCAACAAAAGGGGATCTGGAAAAAATGAAATCAGAAATAATTTCTCAGAT